TATATTCATGTAAATATATTATCTTTATACATATGTATGTATGTATGTGTGTGTGTGTGTGTGTGTGTGTGTGTGTGTGTGTGTGTGTGGTGTGGTGTGGTGTGTGGTGTGTGTGTGTGCGTGTGCGCGTGCGTGTGCGTGCGCGTATAATATAGATAGACAGATAGATAGATGGATGGATAGATAGATGGATGGATAGACAGATAGATAGATAGATAGATAGATACAGATAGATTTCCTAAAGAAAAAGAAAAAGGCACCCAACAAAATTCACAAAAAATAATGTAAAAATGTAATAACATTGCAATCACACATTGTCTGTCTTTCTGATGATACAATCAATTTGCAACTGCTGCTGAAATTAAGTTCTTCCCTACCATATTTTTCAGTGTTGTCATAACATTCTTGAGCCAAGGTCTTGTGATAGTTATCTAATTGTAGAAAGAAATATTTGAACAACACTATGAACACATTATATATTTACATATTTGTATTTCTCCACATTTTAGATTATAATACTGCGATAATGATAAGTGACATCGAGAAATATACCAGTGTTCCTTGAACCATCAGCATGTATGATGATGGCAAGGAGATTAAAGATTTTAAAATCTCTTACTTTCATCAACATCCTCTCCTGATTTCCCCTCTTTTCTATCTTCTGATGATGGTGCAGAAAATTTTTGTCCAGTTTCTAAATCTTCAAAGTCACCATACAAGTCCTCATCTTCATCATCAAGTTTCAAGAGGGACTCTGCATTCTTGTCATCCTTCCATTCACCCGTCATAAAACAGTCACGGATGCTTTCTAGAAGCTGTATAAAAAGACATTATGAGTTTAATCATTCTATTACTTACAAACATAATGACATGTAGGGAGATAGGGACATCTGTGGAGGGGTTCCATTCTCATAATAAAAATTCAAAGACCTAAGGAGAGGATATCAAACAACACCAAATTAAATCTCTAAAGTCTATTCCTTTTAAACTACACATGCTCATGACCCAACTGCTTACTTCTCTGGAGCTCCAATCTCTTAGGACAGGTGGAATGTATCTGCTAGTGTCTAATTCATCCATATTTGCCTGACTAGACCGTGTACTCATCCCACTCTTTGGTTTTGAGACACGAAGGAAGAGTCCTCCTATGTGGTCCTCCTCCTCTTCTTCTGCTGCTTTTTTTTCTTCCTTAACTGCAAGAATAAGACAAAGAAGAATAATTTATTTGAAAAAGTGAATTCATAAATAATACAATATTGTGTAAATACATCGTAACAACTCTGTCCATCGGACAGTTTGACCATGAGTGCACCAATACTTTACAAAACAGACTCATTTAATACACTAGTGAACCAAGATGGGGATAACTTGTTTAGCATTTTTTGTGAGCATGCAAACTGGTCTAGACTCCAGGGTATGAGGTAAAAATATCACCATTTTATAAACACTGACTGAACAATACTCCTTGATTTTCTTGTATCACATATACTATTGAGTGGGGTGAATCAAGTCTTTTTTTCCTTATTAGGTTCTAAACTCTACATCAAAAAAGTGAAGTAGCTTCTATTTATGGTGAGTATGGAAGAGTAAGTGATCAATTTGTGTGCAAGTGCATAAGACTTTCACTTATTTATTCTTTACAAAGTCACAGAGTCAGTCAAGGAAATGGGGTGAAATGAGAAACTTCTTGGGTTGAATTAAATAAACAAACATCCTCTCATTTGTTGTTTAATATACTTGATATCTGATTTAATTAAGATCAGTTCCCACAGACTTTCAGACATTAATTAACTGTTTTCTTCCCCCTTTGGAAAATACCAGCTTAAATTCTTTTGTGGTGTAGCTAGAAAAAAATAACCTACTGCTACTTTCTGTAATTACAAGGGACGTAGTCAGATCTAACTGTATTTTACATGCATTTTAAAATCAACAAAAGCTTTGTCAATCCCCCTAATTGTAAAAGGAGGCAAGCCTGACAATACAACTGGTCCACTGATAAAGTGTAACATATTAACCTGATCAATATCATCATGTTTGGGCCAGTATTAATGATTGTACATCTTTCTTACTTAGAATCTAATGGTTTCACTGTTTTTCCAACATATTATTTCTCTTCCTCAGGGTAAATATTAGGAATAAAGTTCAAATAAGTGTCTTGCTCAAACTTTGTATGAATGTTTTCTACTTTTATACCTTTCTCACTTTCAGCACCAGCCATTATGGAAAAAATAATGAACCTAAAATCTCAAATAACTTCAGGAGAGTAAATTTACCAAAACTATTGGTTTTGCAACACAATTTTGCAGGGGGTAAGAAATCTTATGCTTAGGGAGAATGGAGTTTTCATGCTTTTAACCCATTCATGCTGGGCATCACGTTTACATGACAGGCCCACTATGAGTTTACTTGTTTAATTGTTTCACACATAGATGGCTACACTTGTACTTGTACTGCCTGTCTCGAATGTTTACCCTTTTCTTTAATTTACGAAATTATTTTGTGTTATTTTATTTTGCTGTTACTAATGTTTATAACATTATAGTAATTACAATGTTTATAATAAAAATAACCATCGATATTCATAACACTAGTAAATATACATTTTCCCACCAATTCAAGTAAAGGTGAAATCAGGTAAGGCAGAGCCATCTAGTGTAGAGAAATTTCACATAAAAATATAAAAAATGAGCACAGCATTTTCCCCATTTTTTGTTCATTTTTACCCGGCGCAAATGGGTTAACAATTTCCTATTGAAAAGTTGTATATGCAAAGTTTATAATTATAGGCTAGGCATATCTAATGAGCATAACAGGGTCTCAATTCAACCCCCCAAAAAGTTGTCTTGATACACATCACTTGACACTACATGTTTTTTTGTTTATCAAAAGTAACAAATATCTCCAGTAAAAGTATATGAAAAAAAAAAAACATTTGTCCAAAGGAGAATTGTGACATTTCTACCTATTTCAGCCCAAATAACTTCTAAGTGACAATCTAAGTCATTGTTTCTATTTATTGTTCCTTTTTATATTTATAATAGATACCTAAGCCTAAGATTTCCAGTTGAACAAGCTCCACCTGACTTATTTTATTCATCCATAAACTACTCTCTGTAGTTTTTTGCAAGGTTTTAAAATTCAACAATGATATACACAGGTTACTCAGAAAATATCACATAAGAGCTGTACTCAATATAAAATAATAAAAAAGGGAAAATGCTATTATTGGATGTTATATGACAATCTTCACCAAAATAGCTTTTAAAATATAAAAAAAATGGAAATTTACATCAGGAAACTTACCTTCACCATAAATATACTTCTTCAGGTATGAAACTGTATTCTGATTTCTGTAAAAATTTTGTGTAGCTTGCTTGAACATCTCAGTCCTGTAATCTATTTTTTCTTCTTCCATCCCCTCCACTTGACTCACACCTCCCTCCTTTTTTAACTCTTTCATTCTGGAGAAATCCTCTGCCTCTTCCTCTTCATTTTCTTCTGCTTCCTCTTCATCCTCCTCTTCGGTTTCTGTTTCTGTTTCTGCTTCTTCTTCCTCTTCCTCTTCTTCTCCCTCTTCCTCTGCCATCTCTTCTTCCTCTTCCTTATCATCATAATCTTCCTTGTCCTCACTTTCACTGCCAGATCCACAATCACTACTAGCAATATTTGCTTTGGGTGGCTGTCCAGATACTGTACTGATCTTCTCTAAAATACCCTGAATCTTTGTTGTCATTTCAAAGTCTTTGTTTCTCTTAAGGCCTTGTATAGTTCTTTTATTTTTATCAGAACCTTTTATACCAACTTTGAGTTTGATTTCTTTTTGTTTGTTTGCCTGATCTTTTTCAAGGTCTCTAACAATGTCTTTCAAATCACTGTCAACATCACAGTCATCTGAATCACTGTCTGCCCTTGTATCTTTTGTCTGCCTCCCACTGGAGAAAGTACTCTGAAATAAATATATCTAGTTTTAGCCATAAAAAAATACAAATTTCCATATCTGATACACAAACTATGAACCATGCCAATGCTACATTTGTATTTTCCCATTTCTTAAGTTTAAGAGCAAATAGTCAACCCTGACATTCAATCATTTTTCAACATAAGAAAATAGTCACCTTTTGCCTCTTCTTTGGTGGGAATATTTCATTCTCTGCATCACTACATTCACTTTCTTCTTCTATTTCTATTCCTTCCTCCTCCTCCATCTCCATCTCCTCCTCCTCCTCCAGCTCCTCTTCTTCATCTTCATCATCACTCTCCCCTTCCACTTCTTCATCTAAACTATCATGGAAAATTACTCGTCTTCTGATTCTCCCTGTACTATCCTTCACAGTTTCATATGATGGAAGTTCATTTTCTGAGTCCTGAAAACTAAAATGACAAAACATAAAAAGATTTTATTCATATTTACCCTACAAAATATATAGGTCATTAGAAATTAAGGAATGAAACAATATAATAAATACTTTTTTCACATTTATATCATGCTATCATTTGAACGATGCAATAATACATAATAAATTAATTCAAACCACTGGGTTCTTATTTTGGGTTATTCTTACTCTCTCATTTTCACTTCTCCCTCTTCTTTTTTGATTTCTGTTTCACCTCTGTCCAAAGAGATGAACTGCGTGTTTGAAAAAAGTTTGATTTGGCTTTCAGCTTGTTTCTCATCTGCTGTTTTCTGCAAATTTAGGAGAGGCTCCAGAACACCATCTTCATCCTCTTCCTCATCATCATCTTCAGTCTGAAAGTATATTCATCCATTTTTCCTGAGAAATAAGTCATGATTATATATATGAAGCCACTCAATTTTCAGACAAAAATGTGATCAAATCATGCACCAAAGATAATTAATTCTTTCTTATTTTACATTTTTTACAAGTGTAAGATAATATCAATAATCAATCATAAAAAAATAAAACACTGGCATATTCCACCAGAGCAATACAAAACTCACAAGCAGGATTATTTTCAGCAAATTCAAACATTATGTTATT